ATTTCCCGGAGTACCTGTCATTGCCCTGACTGCAACTGCGACCCAACTCGTTCGTACTGATGTAGTGGCCAACCTCGGCATTCAGGGCTGCCGTCAATTTTCTCAGAGTTTTAACCGCCCTAATTTGTCCTACGAAGTTGTGCCGAAAGTCAAGGGTGTCATCAACAGTATTGCGGATCTGATTAAAGAGAGGTACATTGGCAAATCTGGAATCATCTATTGTCTGTCGCGGAAGAGTTGTGAGCAAGTGGCCCAAAAGTTGTCCGAGGCAGGCATCCGTGCCTATCATTACCACGCGGGAATGGATTCCGCTGACCGCTCCGAGGTTCAACGCAAATGGCAAAAGAATGAGTACCACGTCATTGTGGCTACCATCGCCTTCGGCATGGGCATCGATAAAGCTGACGTACGATACGTTATTCACCACTCGCTCCCTAAAAGTTTAGAGGGCTACTACCAAGAAACTGGACGAGCTGGGCGTGACGGCAAACGTTCAGAGTGCTACTTGTATTATCAGTATGCCGACTCGAGGATATTACACAAAATGATTCAAGAAGGTGAAGGAAGTTGGGAGCAGAAGCAGCGACTGACTGATATGCTACGGACCGTCATCCAGTACTGCGAGAACAAAGCCGACTGTCGACGCGCTCAAGTACTCGGATACTTTAGTGAAGCATTCGATGCCTCTAAGTGCAATTCAACATGCGACAATTGTCGTTCGGATGCCACATTCGTCACAAAAGATCTTACAGAGTATGCTGCCATGGCCATCAAGCTCGTAAGTCAAGTGCACGAGGACAATGTAACGATGCATCAGTGCGTAGATGCTTTCCGTGGCGCTGGCAGTGCTAAAATTAAGCGCTCGGGATTGGAAGAGTACGGCTGGGGCTACGGCAAGGATCTGGAACGAGGTGATAACGAACGCATCTTTCAGCATTTGCTTGACGCGGGGGCTTTCAAGGAAAGAAGCAAGGTGAACAAAGTTGGCTTTGCCACCAACTACCTACACGTACGTATTTACGACCCTGATTATGGTCACATACTGACTGCTGCAGCCTGCTTCGACACGCAATGACTATGAAAGCAAACGAAAGCAATTGAAGTTACAAGTACGTTCTACACCACAAAAGGCACGCGCAAAAGCACCCGCAGCCAAGAAAACGAAGAAGCAGCAGACCCAGTTTCCGTCGACCAACGTCGACTCTCCTGTACGCGCGCCCAAGCAAAAGATTCGATCGTTTGCTTATAACGAGGAGGAGGAAGACGATGACGATGACGACTTTGATATTCCTCGGCATCCTACGCGCAACAAGACTACGCGTGGTTACCAGACTGATGATTTTGTTGTCGACGACGACGACTACTTTGCGCCAATACGTGTTGCCAAGCCATCGAAGGCCACGAAGGGAAAGGGGGTTGGAGCTCCGATTACTGCAGATCAACGAACTGCAGAACTTACAGACCTACAAAGAGAAGTCTTGGACGATTTCATGAACGGAGCCAGGAAGATGAGAACGACCTTGCAAGAGAGGAAAGGCCACCGCGAAGCCATCTTCACAGACACTGTACTTCGTGAGATGGGTCTTGACTTGCCCATGAGTCTGGATGAGATGAAGACCATCCCTGGTATTAGGCCCGAAATGGTGGATCTCTATGGCAAGCAATTCTTGACCTTGGTCAACAACAGTAGGGAATTCTATGGAGATGACACACCAGTGCCTAGGAACCCGCAACTTCGCAACCGTCGACCTCAACAATCACGGATCATCCACGAGATTGACGATGATGACGAGGAAGTTGACGACCAGAATCATCGGCTCGTTGTGGATCTGTGTAGCGAAGACGAAGACCCGATGCCTGTTGCACAGGAGTCTGAGGAGGAGTCCTTCTACGGCGATTTTGGTGAGGACGATGATGATGACGACGATGACGGCGCGGTCCACACAAGTCATCACTTTAGTCAGTTCCAGAACCAAGACGTTGCAGACTTTAACAACCGATATACACAACTCGGTGGCGGCCCGGCTCCGTCTACCAAAGCGGCCAAGGCACCAGCAGCAAGAGGTGGATCTAAAGCCTATGGATCTGGGTATAAGAAGAAGGGCTCGTCCCGCAAGAGGGCTTCTGGTAGCTTTAACAAAAGTTTCGGTGGCGTGAAGAAGCGAGCCTCGAAGAGTGGCGGTAGCAGAGCTTCAGGAGGCGCAACAACGACCAGCAGGCCTTCTGGTCGTGGTGGCAGAAGTGGAGGGTCAGGGGCTGGAACTGGATGGTCGGGTGTCATGGCAATGCCCACTTAGGTGTGCGGTGGGTTCCGAGTTTTTCAGGGAGGGAGAGAGAGACACATCGAGCGTATGCGTACGTTAGCGACTGTCCAAACTTTTACGACTTTATGCATATTCTCGGTGATGAGGTACATTGTTCGACTTACAACATGTAGATACTGGATTATATCACTACCACTTGTTACACACACGTGTGTAGTACTCTCAATCTCCATATTTCAAAAACTTGAACATGCTCAAAAGGACAATCTATGTTCAAATGCATGGAGTACAAAGGATCAAGATGATCATGTTGCAGTGTAAAAAGGTATTAATTCATTAGCCCGCAGGCGAGGTATCTCATAAAGTACAAGTCCATCTCATTCCATGGAGACTTCTTTGGGTATCGCATTCCTCCTTCTACCATCGAGGGCAAGCAGGATGCTTACAAGCCGCTGCCATGGGTGTGAGTGGTGTGAGTGGTGTGAGTGCCGGTAGTGTGGTGACCCATTCCAAGAGCGTTCTTGGTCTTGTCGACAATGCTACCGCCAGTGGAGCCGTGAACGTTGTTGTCCTTGGAGCGGCCAATCTTGTCCATAGTAGATTGCGTGTTGGTCTTTGAAGAATCGGGCTGCGCCTCGCGGGCAATCTTGTCGCCGGTGCCAGTGATGGACTCCTTGATCTTGGTGCCAGTGGACTTTGAAGACTGGGGTTGCTGATATGTCTGTTAGGAGATGCAGGTAATGAGAGGAGGATGAACAAGGAGACATACCATCTTCTCACCGAGCTTGGTGTGGGTATCTTTGCGGAATGCGTCGGTCATGTTGGCTGTTTGTGGTGTTGTTTTTGGGGTAGTGTGTGTAGGTAGATGGTGGTTCTAGTTGATGTTTGAAGTTGCAGGTGTGGATGTTGATGGAGGCTTTCTTCAGCGCAGGACGAGTGCTGTTTATATGCTCCTCATGTCTCAAGCAGCTACGTCATAGTTCGTGACTGCCGTTCGCAGTCACAGCAGGAGTGAGACTGGCATGTGCCTGGAATGAAACAACGCAGCCACAAACCACTCGTATGCCCAGAACAATCTAGGACGTCATTTTGTTGGCAATCTGACGAGGTCGAGATTCAGTCTGCTTTCGTGATAGGCCATATTCGTTTCGCTTGTTTGAATAGTACTTTGAGAGGCGAATGAACAGGGGTAGGTGATAGAGATCAACGATGGAAGCAAGTTTGCTGACCCGTCATGAAAGAAGCTAGCTAAGAGAGCGTGGCGTTCCCTACACTTCTTGGCCGTCGACTACCTGCCCTGCTTCAGGTATCTTCAAGAAAGATTAGTGCTAGCGTTTAGTCTACGAGCATACACGTGCATCGCGAGAGTTGGTGAGTTAAGTTCGAATTTGAGGTGGGGCGAAGTTACTGGTCCCTGCGCCGGATGCGCGACTCCACGTGTACCGAGGTAGTAGTGACATCATCCCGTGTCGAAGGGTACAATCAAGCTTCAAGTCCGATCGCCAGGTCAACGGAGCCCAATGCTTGCTGGTATGCTGGTGTCTAGCATCTGACTGTCATTTTCACGAAATGAGACCGCTGATCACTGACGTACGACGCGATCCAGATCGCGCAATCATTATAGCCTGATGAGTGATCATGTTGGAGCAAGTCTACAAAACTCAATAGAAGTACGGCCTGCCCTGCCTTGGAGTTCGCAGGGTGTGCAGCGCAAGCTTCCGTCAGGTAAGGTTGTCGGGAGATGTCGCTGCAGGGCCACCGGGTAATACTTGAGGGCCCGAACCGAGCCAAAAAAGTATACGGACCTGAGTTCAAGATGCTCCTGCAAACAGGCTGCTAGAAGCTGCTGTTAGATGTCTAGATATCCGTCGAGACTGCAACGTGACAGTATCGGCAATGGCCTCACCCTTTGCTTGGAGCTACTCAACACGCAGAGCCAGGCCGTGACCAAATGCCATGGCAAAGTGTTCAAGATGCATCGAGGACGATGGTGCTTTTTATTGTTGAATCTCCGGGTGCGCACTGTCGGCGGCACACCGACTACTATATACCGTGGATGGCGGTATGAGGCGGTATGAGGTGTCGCAGCGGATGTCTTGAGGTGCATGGCGCTACGACGCGTTCTGGAACCCTCAACCATGGCGCACGCGAAAGGGCGGTCGCAGTAGGACTGTAGCTGGTGCCGTACGCAAGCCGCCACGTCGTCGCAGGAATGAAGAGGCTGGACAAGGGACATTAACAGGAGGGTCTAATGCAGGAACGAGCTTGGATCGCCAGTAGCGCTGGTGTGTTATTGGCTGTTGGGCATGACGTTCGTGTTCGGTCCCCTCGACAACCCGCTTTGTTGATAGACTAAGCCAACCACCTCCAGCCACTTCAGACCAGCCATCACCATTTTCGCAACAGCAAAACTATCAGTCGCTGCAAGCAGAGAGAGAAGTCACATTCCACGCTACCACCCACACTTTGAATATTCTTCCACACAGGAGACATCTGACCATCATTGTCGCAGTGCACATCCCGACCGTACCGCATATCGACCCGCATTCCGCATTCGACCCAAGTACACTCGGATCAAGACACGATTGCTCCCGCTCTCTCGCACCTCTGTAGGAGAGAGACAACCCCACCAGCCGCTGTCTGAGTGCATTCCCCCGCTCATCTCACCCGGCCCTCTGGGGGCGCAGGGAGAATACGAAGCCTTTCAGGCGTAGTTGAAGGAAAGACACATTCATAATGGCGAACTTACGGTTCGCGGTGAGCATGCAACGTGAGTACTTGCATACATCTCCGTTCGAGGCATCAAGACTGACAACCACCAGGGTTAATACCGTTTCTTGGCTTCCACCATGTTCTCATGATTCTTATTGCAATTGCTATAATATTGCTTTGTAAGTTACGACGAAAGCCTGCCCAAAGACGATGGCTAACAATCTTCCAGCATTGCTACTAGCAGGATGCTCGTCCACTTCACCACTCATCCCCGGCATCTTCCTCATCTCCATGTGGTACGAACAGTTCACACCCACCTACGCACCTGAACAGGTCGACCCCGGTGTCACAGCCGCAATTGCCAACATTGTCGGCAACGCACAGCTTGGTGTGCGCGTCGGCTACTTCGGCATCTGCATCAACCGAGACGGTGGTGGCTTCATCTGCTCCAACAATGCCACAGCGCTCGTCGACAACGTGTCCGTTGACCAGGACCCGCTGAACCTCGTCTGGGTTGCTGCTACCTTCAAGGATGCCGTTGTTTTCCCTTACTTGCTCATTGTCGCCATCATCCTCGCCTTCTTCACATTCATCCTCCTTGCCACCTTCCCCGGATGGCACGAGGAGAGAGACGAGCGAACCGGATCCGATGTCGACGTCAAGCCCTTCCCGTCAAGGCCTGTCTCACAAGTCGCCCTTGCGCTCATCTTTATCTCGTCCATCTTCGTCCTGGTTTCCGTACTCTGGCAACATACAGCATCTGTCGCAGCCGCAACCATTGTGCAAGATCTGGGTAACGGCAGCGTCAAGTCCGGTGTCGGTACATCAGCCATGGTTCTTGGATGGTTCGGCTTTGTGCTACTCATAATAGTAACCATCGGGTTGCTCGTTATGATTCTCAGCATCATTGTTCTCGACCGTCTTACCGACAACGACTAAGAGGACCGACACAGCTGCGAATACATTCAAAAAATAATTACGAGAAGATGAGCATTTTGTTGGCGCGATTGTGTAATTTGGTGCCGAGCTTACTCGGCCTTCACTTCTTCAGCTCAGTTACTGTTACATACCCTTTTGGCGACGCGATGGCAGCTTGCTGACCAGAACCGCTTTTTGTTTGGCATACCCGGCGTTGAGGCTTTTGCATCAGATCAATTTGATCCACGAGCGAGTATTGGTATTTAACAAGGATGTTAGACGAAGGAGGAACGACTCGACGGAAAGAAACGCTAGGATGGACTGTATCTATGTAGTAAATGAAACAATGAGAATCGGATACGTCAAGTCAGGAAACTTTTGCCTAATGTTTGGTGATGCTTGTCCGACGGCTGGCAGTGGGAGCGTTTGTGTACAATGTCTCCTTTTGTCCCTTGGACATGCCGGGGTATTCTCGCATCGTGGAGGGGCGAAACGCGGGGAGTAGCGGAGCCGCCAGTCAACCTGCCATTCGCAACCCAAAAGCGGAAAGTCTTCACTCTGCCACCATCAATAGCGCGCTCACGCGTTACACCTACGCATACCATGAAGAGATGTCTTACTTCACAAATGCAAAGAGCCTGTCCGAATCCCTCCGACGACCGGCCGCAGCACGCAATTATCGATGGCGCCATGCCTAAGCGAGCCTAGAGCATTTTGTCGCGTCCAAAAAAATTGGTGGGGTTGGCGTGAGAGGGACATCTAGTGCTCTGACTGCTTAAAGCCCGTATAGTCTTTTACTATTGTCCTCCGTTCCTTACTCTTCATTCCCTTTCCAACACAAAACCTACGTTTAGTTGCCTGTCATGTCCAGTTACGCGCTCCCCAAGTCCCACCAGGACGTATGTTGCCCCTCACATCACAATCAAGATGCACCCTGCTAACTCAGCATAGCTCATGGAGAAGTCCCTGGTGGAAACCGACAATGAGGTCGCCCAGATTATGGTGAGTCTCTTCTGCTATTCTTTTTATCCTACATCATTTAACAATTCTTGTAGGAGAAGGAAATCCAGCGTCAGCGCGAGTCCATCCTCCTGATCGCCTCCGAGAATGTCACTTCCCGCGCTGTCTTCGATGCGCTCGGTTCGCCCATGTCCAACAAGTACTCTGAGGGTTACCCCGGCGCCCGCTACTACGGTGGCAACGAGCACATCGACTCTATTGAGTTGCTCTGCCAGAAGCGCGCACTCGAGACCTTTGGTCTAGACTCGGAGAAGTGGGGTGTCAACGTACAGTGCCTGAGTGGTAGCCCGGCAAACCTCCAGGCTTACCAGGCCATCATGAGGCCGCACGACAGGCTTATGGGTCTTGACCTGCCCCATGGTGGACATTTGAGCCACGGCTACCAAACACCCCAGAGGAAGTGCGTACAAAACGAGCCACTTGTACAGGGGGCGTAGGCTGACCAGAGATAGGATCTCCGCTGTTTCCACATACTTTGAGACTTTCCCCTACCGCGTAAACCTCGACACCGGCCTCATCGACTACGATCAGCTTGAGCAGAACGCCCTCATGTACCGTCCCAAGGTGCTCGTCGCCGGTACCTCCGCTTACTGCCGTGAGATTGACTACGCCCGCATGCGCGAGATTGCCGACAAGGTTGGCTGCTACCTCCTGATGGACATGGCCCATATCTCTGGTCTTGTCGCTGCTGGCGTCAACAAGTCGCCCTTCCAATACTGCGACATTGTCACAACCACCACCCACAAGTCCCTCCGTGGACCCCGTGGTGCCATGATCTTCTTCCGCAAGGGTGTGCGCAAGACCGACCCCAAGACTGGCAAGGAGACGCTCTACGATCTCGAGGGTCCTATCAACTTCTCCGTCTTCCCTGGCCACCAGGGTGGCCCGCACAACCACACCATCACCGCCCTCGCGGTTGCGCTCAAGCAAGCCCAATCTGAGGACTTCAAGCTCTACCAGCAGCAGGTCATCAAGAACGCCAAGGCCCTTGAGGTTGCGTTCAAGAGCATGGACTACAAGCTCGTTACCGACGGTACCGACAACCACATGGTTCTGATCGACCTGAAGCCCTTCAACCTTGACGGTGCCCGTGTCGAAGCCGTTCTTGAGCAAGTCAACATTGCCTGCAACAAAAACACCACTCCTGGTGACAAGTCGGCTCTCACACCCATGGGTATCCGTATTGGAGCCCCAGCCATGACCTCGCGTGGTCTTGGTGAGGAGGACTTCAAGAAGATTGCCAACTACATCGACCAGTGCATTAAGCTGTGCAAGAAGATCCAAGGCGAGCTCCCCAAGGAGAACAACAAGCTCAAGGACTTCAAGAGCAAGGTTGCCAGCGGTGAGGTACAGGAGATCAACGACCTCAAGAAGGAGATTGCGGCCTGGGCCGTCACCTTCCCTCTGCCCATCTAAGCCTACATGGAGCTTTTTCGTGATTGGGCGGCGTACTATGGCGTTTCTTTCTCCAAGCGGGATATGGTGTTTCAACAAAAAGGCAAATTTGGGACTGGCAAATTCAACAGCTCTACCATTTTGGGAATTTACGAGGAATGATATGATTAGGACGATAAAAAGGAGATACCTGAAGATTTAGATGCGCTGCTTAACCAGTGGGTCTTAGTCACCAAATGTAAAAACTTGACTCAAACTCTTTGGTATGACTATTGCATTCATGTGATTGGAGACTACGAAATCTATGCCGAAACCGGCGGCTCTCATGCCGACTGCCAGGTAATAGCAAACGTGGCAGAGTGGTCTCCACCGGCGTACACAGTTTGCTGTGTGCTACCAGACGCAACCTTGTCCGCGGACCAGAGCGCGTTACCGCCAGCAGCCAATTTTCCGTCAGTGTTGGTAAAAGCAGTCGCGCTTGCAGAGCCATCGCAAGATAGCGCTCCAGCAACGACTGCGCACTTGCCCTTGGAGCTCGACAGGGTGAAGCCGTTGTCTACGTCGGTAGCTGTGAAAGTCGCACATGTTCCGGTCGTGTACCAAGTACCCTTGCTGATGATGCATCCCTTCTTGACTCCGTTGACAATGACATTGAGGTTACCCTTGCCACTGAAAGGTGTTCCAGGCGCAGCAGTAGATGTCGGCGCAGGTCCTCCAACGGTCGTAGTGGTAGAGGGAGGAGACGAGCTTGCATTCTTGAGAATGTACTTGATTCCTGTCTGAGGGCAGGTAGACTTGGTACCATCAGGGTCCGAAGCAACAAACTCGCCAGTCTGTACACTGCCACGAACATCGTAGTGGTACCAGATCTCGTTGAGCGCGCCAGACTTGCAGCCTAGCGTTACCTCGACACCGGGCCTCTTGGCCTGGATGGCGCTTTGAATGGCGGCGAAAGTGTATGTCTTGGTTGTGCTGGGTGTGATACCAGCTGCGGCCAACCACTCGTAACTTGGTAGCGTTTTGAAGAGGTCGACAGTCTTTTGGAAGAAATCGACAACTTCCTCTGTTGCTTTGTGGTCGTTGTAGCACTCGGGTTCTAGCGTGGAGATGCAAGTGCCGTGCTTGGCCCACTCGTGGTACCAGAAGGACTCGTCGTCGCCTTGGTAGTCCTTCCAGTAGGTGGACATGTAGGAGAGGAGGTCGGTTGCGCCGAAGGAGTTGAGGATGGCGCTGATGTTGGAGTAGGCGCGCGACGAGTCGCAGTTCGCGTCATAGGTGCCGTCACAGCGGTCAGGCCTGGACAGGACGGTTAGCATTCATGCATAGTGAATAGGAGCTGAAGGGCAATCGTACCATAGACCATGGATTGTCCAGCTATCCTCTGGTCCGGTAGCAGGCGAAGCATCCCAGAACTGCGTCTGGAGGATCTGTCCACCTGGGGCGTTGAAACAACAGAGGTTCTCCACGACAGTGGTGTTGTGGCAGCTCAACTGAGCATTGGGGCAAGTCTGGGTATACTCGCCCATGACGCGTCCTCCATTGCCGAGGATGACTTGCGCACCACCGAGCGCAATCTTGCTGAGTGTCCTGAGAGAAGGCATGGCTGTTGATTCTGCTGCCAGCATTTCTGCCGTGGAAGCAGCCGCGTTATGTACTCTATCCCTCGCGGCTCCGACTAGGGAGTCTAGCATGGCCGGCATGTTACCGCTCGCCTTCTACTACTGCAAGGACGGAGGAGATAATTTGGCGCTGTGCAACAAGAATACACAAGCTTTTCGCGGATCGATCCCTCCCGTAACGGCAGCTCAGATTACACGCCTTCACGTTGTTGTCGCTGATTCGCAGACAGCGAATACACTGTGCCTCGATGCGGAAGGTCGGTTCTTTAGTCTAGTCCGTCGCCGCCGGGTCCAAAGCCGTAGATGCGTCAACGGAGAGCCCGAGATGTCTTCTGGGCAAATCGACTGGTGGAAGAGGTTCGGAGTGTAGCCAGGTAGTGCGGAGGTGTACTATGGGATGGCCGGAGACGGCGCTGGGGATGGGTGTTTATGGGGGATGAAAGGGACAGACGACATAGCCACTCATGGCGCAGTACCAGGCATCACGCTGGGCGAGGTCACGCAGGGCCGCGTTTGGGGCATCATGGTGATCGGCTGCCCGGGGACCAGTCAGAGGGCGTCTCATGGCGAATGTGATGGGTGCACGTGTGACGCGTGCCTGGCGATAAGACGACGATTGCGTTAGAGCAGGAACAGGGCGGACCCTGCAGCTTATCAGCATGGAGCGCTAGCCGAGAAGGGGTGCGCATCAAGGTTGCTCGGCGTAGTCCGACCTTCTGACTTGCGCTTTAGAGCTCACGCTATAACCACATCTCTTTTTGCCCGTCGTTCCGCATGCTCTTTCTTTTCAAAGTCGACTGCTGTTCATTCTTTGCCCCACTTCATAACCCATGCTCAGTACGTTTTGTCGATATGTTATATAGGTGAATCTCCATGGACCCCTGTCAACGCCATTGCATCGTCTCTTACTTAGCTTTGGTATAAGCTGCCCTGAGTAGCTTGTTCATCGCAAATCCTCCCTTCCTTGCCTTCTCATCTCTCTGGTCTATTGCTTCGCGTCAAGGTCACTTTCACAAAGGGACCACTTCATATCGCATCTGTCTGGAACAAGTTTGCGTGGGCAAGTAGCATTGTCTTATTTACATATTGTATTTACAAGAAAGAAATGTCGCTCGAATATTCAAAGTTAAATCTCTCAAATCCACCAGCCACAGAACTAGAGTGTCTGCGCTTACGGGTAGGTGGTGTACGAGCACTTGACAGGGTTCTCCTCCTTGATAGCTCGAGCAGCGAACCCAAGGCACTCATCAGCTCCAGCCGGGTTGGTCACGCCGTCCAGCCAGACGGAGTAGCCGCCATTAAGAGAAGGCTTGCAGGCCTGGAAGCCAATCTCCTGACCAGTCTGGTCCTTGAAGACGAGGTGACCGTCGTCGTTGATGGCAAAGGTTCGCCTCTCTCCGTTCTTGACCATATCTTGTACGCCAGTGGTGTACTGAATGACGCCCTGACCCATGCCTGATCTGTCAACGAACATCTGCTGGGGAGGGTTGGCAGTGTAGAGGTAGAGGGTGCCGTTGTTGAGCTGGAAGGAAGCGTAGTTGTGGGGCTCCGGGCCGCAGGAAGCATTCTGTTGGCCTGCGTTGATCACGAGAGAGTTCTGGACAGCCTGAATAGTGTTGTACTGTAGATCGGCGGTGCCTGAGCGGATGGTTTGGATTGTGAAAACATCGCCGTCCTTGATCTTGGAGTCGGTAGGGAGAGCAGTGGCGAGGCCAGCAGCAGAGGCGATGACAGCGGCGGTGGTGAACTTCATGATTGTAGTTGGAGTTTTGATGTGAAGTGTTTTAGGAATGGGTGTTTGTAGATGTAGTGTTGATATTTGATTGTGTTTGAGTTGAATGATGACCTGTAGAGACAAGACCATCAGAGGTTATATACACAGCAGCCTCGTATTCAACCTCATCACGGTCCTACCGGCGAAACCCCAACAATACAACGACATGAGGTCACATTCGATCTGAACACGAGCGTGGGTCCATAGAAACTTCCATGTTCCCCATATTTTGACGCTCGGAAACCAATGCGCCACAGTCGGTTCCTGCTCAGGGTCGTGCGAGGACCATTTCTCCGAGATTCCGGGCAGGAGTCTGTGGAGTATCTGCATGGACGTCGGATGGAATGTGTCGAAAGTGACGCTGCGGTGGCCAAGTTAGCGGGCCGATGAGTGCGAGTAATTAGCTGATGCTGGCTAGCCGCTGCCAATTTTGAACCAACCCCACACCCCGACACGACCCGATTTGCTAGTCGAACGGCCGCTTGACAATAATAGATTGCATGACCGAATTTCCTCACGGACGGACAGAATAACAGTGGGATGGGCGACACTTGCTGTCATTCCTCGTGTTCTCTCGGCTTCAATGCTGCGTGGCCGTGTAATGGAAAGGGGCTGGCAACCTTGGAACCCTGGAACGATGCAATCCAATGGTAATAAAGCGGATCGGCTTTCATTACTACCTTTGCACCAAGCTGCACACGGCAGTACAACCCCTCGTTCTCAAAAGCTTCAATGCAATTGCTCAATTCGAAAGTGCCAGCTCAGTACTCCGTACCTACCTAGGCAATCGCCCGGTTGATGATAGCCAGACTCATAGATATACATTGGAGTGGCACAAATGCTGCAGGCAAGCGTCGTTTGAAACAAGAGCAAAGGCCAAATTCTACGAAATAGGAGTTGTGAGGCAATTATCGTATTTCCAGTTTACGTACCATCGCCAGGCGCCTTTCCAACATCGAATCCTCCGTCTGCCAGCTCGGGACTGAGCAGTTGGAACGACAGAACACCAAGCGAGGTTCGCCACACCCCTTTGCGTCCACAGTCGTCGGCTCACGTTCCGATATCTCGTGTACATCACGTTACTCCGTCTTCATGGCCTTGTAGCATGCCACTTTCGGCTTCGCGACGTCACTCAGATCCAAAGTGTGGATTTCTGTCAAACTAAGAGCAAGCTTGTTCGTAAAATCCGGAGGGTGTCCGACAGCCTTGAGTAGCAGGTTTGCTTTGTTCGTATTCAGACCCACCACAGAACGTCGAACTGCACAAGCGCCATTGGCTGCCCAAGGAATAGTTCGGTTGGTGACATTATTCCCTCACTCCTGTCGATGACAGTCGTCTGGATGTTCGAACATCCTTCAGGTGTGATTGTGACGGACATCTAGATGAACGAGGTATCTCTTATGCTTCTGCGAATAGAGGTAAGTGTGCTCTCATGCATCATGAACCTTGCTTTTTTGGACATCGACGATGACGAAAGCGGTGTCGTAGTTCACGGTCTGAATGGAAGTGAAGCAAACCTCCTTCGATCAGATATCAGGCTGTCGGCTTCATTGTAAGCTTCGAAGTCTAGCCTCGGTAGGAAATACTTGTGCAATGTAGTGAGGGGTAATGACCCTTGTATTGCACCAAATGATGGATGAGCGTGATTTAGTAGGTTGCAGGTGTACTTTCCCGAGCTGACCTAGGTACCTAGGTAGTCTTTTGGGCTGTGTCTTTCTTATCAACGCCTTGCAGGTCCACTGCATTGGTAAATGTGCTATCGTACTCACTGCTGTAAATCCGTGTCCCGATGTCTTGTCTTCTATAACATTTTTGAAAGAGCGTGGAGCGCTATTATGTGTAGCTTGCAGGACCAACTGCGATCGGAATCTGTAGCAATGGCTAGTTTCACAAGAACGGAATTGAAGCTTTCATCTTTTTCATGTCGACAGTATCTAGAGAAGAAGCCTTACCCAATATCTATCGGCTATATCTGCTTGTGTTATTCCCTGCTCATTACTATTCATGTATGAGTAAGTAGTATAACAACTATTGACTAGGTACGCAATTATTATTTCTAAAACTGAACACGAAGAGTATATCACAATCTGTCGCAAACAATTGTTGATAATCAGAGTTATACAAGGGAACGGTCGTCTGAGAACATATAGCGAATCGTTAGGATGCATCTCTGCACGGAACAATTTGGAGCGTTGTCTGCGAAGCAAACCATGCACTACCTCTCTAAATATTCTACCACTTAGCCATTTCTCATCCTGCTTTTAACACGACGTTTTCATGAAAATACCACAGCTCATCAATTGATACATGATGGCCATAGTCCAAATGCCGGTGTTCATCTCAATCTCATGATACCTAGGTACAGAACAGCCGTTCAAGCGGTCAGACCCACGGACAGCCGCTCATTCCTCAGTCTTCGGCGGTATAGCCCACAACAAAGTCTTACCAAAGGGTGTCAATTTCGAAAACATGGCTATACGAAGCGCAGAGGTGTGCCGGCAATATCGGCATTATACGCGCATCGTCTGGAGCGATGCGGTGCCCGGATAGCACGGAATCAACATATTCTAGCACTTCCAAATTTCTGAAACCCTCCCAAGGTCCACTCGAGCACTCGATTCTATTAAATTGCCAGACTCGAGCCTTGTCCTTGGATGATCTTTCAAAAGCAGCCGGTGTTAGAGTTTCAGGATGCTGGCTATCTGTGTTGAGTTGTCCCACATCGTCCGGCCAAGAGTTGCAAAACAACACCGCGTTCACGTACCAGCAATGACGCGTTATGGTAGGCTTCAGAGCTTCCGAAACCGCGTGAATCGATATAAGAGACATGCGTCTTATTCTCAAGGACACTCATCTTGCGTTGGACACGTAGGTTCTGCTGAAGAGGAGGACTTGAAGCGATAGAGTTGGACGCGTGATCACCCCCGCCTGACACATTGCAACACGTCATCAGTTTAGCATCACGCTGGCTGACAAGATCAAGAAGGTACCCCTAAACTTGTGTGTACGTTTGCGCAATACCTATAGAAAAAGGGCACGTATTCATTCTCCTTACAAGTACGTGTTGAGGCGGGTTGTGTTCGAGGTGTTGACGCGCAAGCGAAACACCATGGAAGGCGGCGGATGGCGCGATACAGGTATCGCCGAAAACACAACCATCAAGAGCGGAAATGAATTAAATGAACATAGTAAAATAATGGAAAATGTACTGCTTTGCATAAAGTGCGAGATCAATACGAAGAGAGAAAAAAGGATAGGCCTGTAGTGGCATATCTCTACGATAGATGTCGAGTCGTCGAAAGCAGAGGATTGCGCATGAGCTCGTCGAGGCGCAAGATGCTCCTATTGCACCCTCTCGAATAGAAGGGTCCTGGTAAAACAACAAGGACTGAGCTTTGGCATGATTGAAGTGCCAGGCCACGACTGCTTGCAGTCAGGCTCCTAGCAGGCGTTGGCGACTGATCAAGCGTCACGACGACAAGAAAGAGCGACTTGAGGCGGAGGAGATGGGGTGAGGGTCTGCGCTTCCGAAGGGCAGACTGGATAGACCCCCAGAAAATCGAACTGACAGGAGCCGCACTGCGCCCAGCCAGCGTAGGCGGCAGTATTGCAGCATGAGATCAAACTGAAGCGCATCTTGATCAGGACTGGAGAGTTAGCGCCTTTGGGTTGGTGATCTGAGTGCGGCGATTTTGATCCCTGAAAAGTATAAGAACGGCGCATACCCCACCCGCCGCGTGCTTGCCCCAACTCAGCGACTTCGTGACTTTCTACAACCACAATCCCCCCATCGATTTTCTCGCCTGCCCTCTCGTTCGAAGCATCAGTAACGCGTCTATCTTCCCATCTAAATCACTACCAACAATGCCTCCCAAGAAGAACACCACCCCTTCCAAGGCAAAGGCGCCTGCCGCCGCGCCTGCCCATGGCTCCTACATCGGTATGTGCTATGATATCTCAACCCAACGCGGTCGCGTTGGTTGTCAGATAGTCGCGTCTTTGTCGCCGGTCAATGCTGACTCTATTAGACATGGTCAAGGATGCTATCATCAACGTGAGTCTATCCCAGGCGCATTGCCCTGCACATGACTTTGCGACAGCTTGCGCCGCCAACTCTGGCGCGAAGCCCAACAACACATGATAACGTTCCTTCATTGAGTGAATGTGATTACTGACGCGCTCTATGCACAATACAGCTTAAGGAACGAAATGGATCAAGGTTAGTCAATCCACCACCCACGTGCCGTCGCTCATGCGTCGCGTCATGCTTTTGCCTGGAAGCACCCAAGACTAAGAGCTCTCGCTAACTTTGCGCCAACAGCCGTCAAGCCATTCAGAAATACATTCGTGCCAACAACAAGGTCGAGAACGTCACCGATGCCGCCTTCAGGAGTCACGTTAACCGCGCCATCACGTCAGGCGAGGAGAAGGGTGACTTCGCGCGTCCTAAGGGTAAGTGACTACCTTCCTGTCCATTTGTGGCGCAACGCCACGCTCCCGACGCGTCGCTGCTGTGCATCTGCAGCAAAGACACTATGATTCAAATTGAACTTTGCTGACGCGTCATTCAGGCACGTCTGGACCAGTGAAGCTTGCGAAGAAGGAGGCTAAGCCCGTTACTGCCACCGCTACCAAGAAGTCTGAGCCCAAGGCTGAGAAGAAGACCACTGAGAAGAAGGTCACCGAGAAGAAGACCGCTGAAAAGAAGACCGAGAAGAAGACTGAGAAGAAGGCCCCCGCTACCAAGAAGGCCACCACCACTGTAAGTACATGCCTACTATCAACAGTGCCTTGCTGATTCTAATTGTAGAAGGCTAAGGCTACTACCACCGCCACCAAGGCTGCTCCCAAGAAGGCCGCCGGCCGCCCAAAGAAGGCTACCACCACAGCTGCTGCCACCAAGGCTGCTCCTGCTGCTAAGCCCAAGGCCAATGCTAGCAAACCCCGCAAGACTGCTCCAACCACTGCCGCCGCCCCTGCCGTCGAGGAGGAGGTATCGCGCGTTCTAGGCAAGACCAAGTCTGGCCGTGTCACCAAGACCAAAGCTCCCGCCGCAGCCAAGGCAACAAAGAAGGCACCAGCAGCAAAGAAGACTGCTGCGGCGAAGAAGGCCACCACACCGAAGAAGAAGGCCACACCTAAGAAGGCCACACCAAAGGCCAAGGCATGAGCTTTATAGCTCAAGCTTTTTCGTTCTGGTTGGTCTTCTTTCTTTTATTATGCTACCGTGAGTTCGCTCCGGAGCGTACGCTAGACGACATTTTCTTCACGGATTCCCTTTGTCTCACTGCTGGTCTATGGATTCTATAGGAGGGCGCGGTTCTACCATGGGTGAATGTGGGTAAGGAAGGCCCACGGTGTTCGTCTCTGACTCTTTCATGTCGGGTATATCATGTTGGCCAGGCGTTCGGGCGCGTGTCTGTCACTGCGGATGGATGTCTACTACTACTGTCATTGTTCTTTTCAGCGTCGCAATCTGGCGTTACGGGAGGATAGCTACGACGTCATGCTATTGTCTCAAACAATGGAAACCAATACATACTTCAAACATGCGCGTTCGTGAATAGGGTGAACATGACGCGTTGTTGTGAGCTGACGCGTGAGTGCTGCAAGTCATGTGAGGGGTATGAGTGGGTCTCTGATAAGATAGCTTACTTGGCCGGGTATCCTCACCCCTCCGGGCAAATCCCACACGAACGCCGACCTGGGAAGATTTTCTACACCTTGCTCCACATTCGCCCGCCATGGTATCCGCCAGCCCTACTCGCACATCTCAAACGTACAAGCTATCATGAATGAACGCTCAAGAGCACGACTTTAATCGAATCGTATCAAGACAACGTAGGATGTTTAACTACTTCACGATAAAATCCTTTGCCTGCGATGCAGCGATTCTTAGCCAATTCTCGACTGGCACACTTGTAGTATTGCTTTGACCTTTGTTCCTTGCGATCCTAGAAAAAGGTGGTTTGTGCTTCGCTTCTACATGAAGCAGGATTTTAAATCACCTTGTTATGAAGTCGTTTTCATACCTACAAATCGGCTCGACAAAGGCATACTATGCCGTAAAAACGCTGAATCATCCCCTTTTTTTCTTGCTTATGAAGACCCCCGAAATGCTGATAGGTGGACGACAAAGAGCTGGCAGACGATGTCGCGGTGAGCGGAAAGCAGACGCACACCACAACTGCCTTTAGGGTTTAGACTGATACATATGCAAACGTAGCACTTGGCCTCAAGTATCGCAATAGTTCACTGTCGCTTTCTACAGCGCTTCTGAAACATATGAACAGTTCTTGTGTCACTTTATGATAGAGCAAATAACACTTCTCCAAACTACTGTATGGTATGTAAACTTCTGGAGCTGGTACCACAGGCTCAGGTTTAGTTCTTCGCATCGTATACCTTCCTTACCGCAGGTCGTGAAGGTGAAGTGAGTACTACAACTGACGGTGGATGTACGTTCACCCCATCCCTCCTCTCACCTTCACCACTGTTTGTGTTGTGCATGGGTCATCTCCGCATTTAGGCGAGTCAATATCCTGATTTGAGACTTCGATCTTCCTATTTCAAGCTTTCTTGGTTACGATAACGCTCAAATCTATCTAAATCATCATGGTAAAGGCGAAAATCACCCAAGTCAACAAGTCGGGTACCATGAGGTAAGACAAGAACAACAGAGTATGCTACACGCGACTGCGAGACTAACATCCTACCTACAGTTTCGAGTCGACCTCTGCAGTCACCATACGCGTGGGCGAGGCTCCGAATACCAAGGATTTCATCGCGCACGAGGCCTTCCTAACTTCCCGCTCGGAGTTTTTCCGACGCGCCATGAATGGTAACTGGAAAGAAGCAGAAACATGCATCATCAACCTCCCTGACGATACGGCCGAAGCGTTCGCCTGCTACATCAACCACGTTTACACTGGCCAGCTACCTACCACAAGTAAGACCACGTCGGAATTAAAGAAGCTTACGGTGGAAGAGTTTGAACACCATGTCAATGACCAATACCGGATTATCTTCGACGTTTTCGTGCTAAGTGAGAAGCTTCAAGACGTCACAACAAAGAACGCCATGATGGAAGCTGCACTGGCCACTGCTGGATTGGTAGCAATTGACGGTCTATGGAGGGTCCCCACATGTCATGTAGTCAACGCGGTCTACAATGGCACACCTGCAGGCAGCCCTGCTAGACGACTCGTCACCGACTTGTGGACTGCGGTACCTATCGAATCTATTTTCTCTTGCATTCGTCGCTTCCATCAAGGATTTGTGGAAGACTTGGGTAAATCCCTTCAAAACAACAGAAAGCCAGCAGAAAACATTCCTGTTCGCAAGGGTGTTGCTGCATATCAAGAGGAAATCAAAGAAGGTTGAGCATACTGCTTTGCTCTGTAGCATACAGCATTCCGGCGGAATATCTGGAGTGTCTACCTTCAGTCACACAGACGTCTACATTGGTCGCTACCTAGGTAGTAGACATTAGATAGATTATCGAGAAGTCAAAGAGGCTTTCTCAAGTTGTATGTAGGTAACCTTAAGAGTCAAGGCCGTGGGTTGAATAGGTAGCCTTGATCAATACATTCGGTCATGTAAATAATCATGGCCACATTGACATAGGACGGATTTTAGCTCAGCACCTGCCACAACTGATCTGTTGGTTCATCGTATCAAAGCACTAGACACCTCTGCTTGGTACTTACCTAGGTATCATGGATGTGACCATCGGGCGCCGACCCAAGCCGGGGATACGTTACATTCCAGACATCTAGCGACGCCAGACACAGCGGCTATGCTCAAAACGAACATGGCATTGCAGTCGTAGCGTGCAAAGCTGTCGACAGCTATTGGGATGCGTTAAAATTCCTCAACTCGAGCTTTGTGTCTAGGTAACGGAGGTGTTGTTGAGGGTTGAGCTCAGCAAAGATGCCGGCCCGAGACGCGGACGGCGTTTACTCTGTGATGCCGCAGCTGCGGCGCGGTTCTCACGAAGCCCTTCTGGGCGCGGAAAGCATCCGTCGATTAGGTGCGTTTCCTTCACAATCACCACTAATATTATCCTAACTCACAACATGTCGCTCGCGTAGTGTGAAGAAGCTTTTTTCATGTCGCAGTGGGCCTTGAAATTCCTCTCGACTTCTTGTCCTTAGAGGACGCACCCGCGACGCCTAATCAGGCACACCGCGCTACCAGGCGCTAGAAACCCTTCACATGGGAGTCTGTTTAGACCCTTGAATTGGAATCCCCGTAGAGAAAATCAAGCGTTGCTCGAAGCTTACCCGACCCCGATTACTGGCACGGAGAGCAGTGGCAACCCGAAGTCTACGGCGCATGCACGTGCATAACCAGCATATACAACTGCCTTCCTTCGAGCTGCGCACATTCCATGCACACTTGTCCGGCACAGCGCGCCGTTGTCGAGACGCCCACAATATTTCCGTTAGCTCCCTTGCCCGCCAACATCCAGTCAGAATCACCCAAGCTCCAAAACGTTGCTATCCGCGGACCAGTAGACGGTAAACGCGTCTGATGACTCTAATGGCTTGCGGCACGATCTGTTCCACCGTCGGGCAACTATCACGAGGCGTCGCAAAGTAACATCGCTTTACGGGACGCTTTCGAGAGCGGGGTGCCACCTTAGAGTTATTTCGGAACGCTATCCGGCGACACCCATGCGAAAGACACCAGACCTTATTTCTTTTGCTTACTCGCTCGTTGCCGCTCCGGTGTCTATAATCAGTGGCTGCTTACCTGTAACAGGGTTCTCCAGATACACACGGCTGTGGCTAGCAAAAGGGTAAGGTGACAATAGCACGACAGGCGCCGCCAGTACTTCCGAGCATCATAATTTTCTGGCTGAAAGCCTCTTAGTGATGAGCAACCAGTTGACCATTTATTTGCCATCCGATTAATTTTCATGTTCTAAAATCCGACCTATGAGGGGCAAGACAGGCATGTACTATGTACGAGGCACACCAACCCTCAAGCTTGCCGCCCTTATTGGCAACGTTCGACCCGTCATTCCATCTTCTACGCGAACAAACCAACATGCTTATGCATATGCCCCAGGATGCGGTCAACCCATTTCAAGGGATGGCCGTTCAGGCGGGACACGCCTGCCACGCTTGATTTCCACACCAGGCCAAGTATGGTGGAAACTCATGTGTTCGGAGTTGTGCAAGCGAGATACTCTAAATCGTTGCCCGCTGGACAAACAGTCAAAGAACAATCAGGCGCCGACACACAGTGGCTTCGTAGGCAAACTACAGGCATCATCAGGACGAGCTGAGTTGATGAATTTCGTCATGTGTTGTTCGCACTATTTGAAGAAGTCAGCATGATAGATCGGGACCCAAACACTTCTCCGAAACGATGGAAGAACAAGAGCTCTTGGCCGAAGAGGCGCCAATTGGCGCCCATCCACATGCGCTTCGTATCTCATTCACTTGCCATGTCGGCGACAGCCTCGGCATCCTGCAAGGATCCTCCAGGACAACATGCAGATCTCACCCGCTAAGACAGGCTTCACAGAGAGCTTGAGTGAGCTTGGCGCCCCAGGTTTCGACCCCTTCCCCAGGCGCATCGTATCCCAGACCAACTGTTGTCCTGCCTGAACGAGCGACTTATCCGACCATCTACAGCGGAAGCATAGTTGCTTGGGGTTTGTTTGGAGCCTCCAACGCGTGGATCCCATGATAGTGTGGAACTGTCTCGATGACCGGTTGCCCCAACCGCAAGCCAACAGTACATGCAGACATACGTATCTTCACTAGTCGTTGACTAACGCGAACGGCCCATGGGGAATGGTAGCAATCCTTCCAGAAATGTAAGATGCGGAGTAGTAGCCCAGTCAGGCCTAGAGCAAGAATTTGCAATGTTACCACATGAAGCCACGCATGCACCGCGCTGCAGTTTGGGATCCGATATTAAAAGCTTGGGCATCCTACCGGTGATTATTCTCTCCAAATACTACCAGCATCTTCTTTCTCCCGCACTGCGCAGAAATCCTCTTCCTGTGCGAGGGGCTTCATCAAATTCGCTACGCCTTCTTTGAGTGGAATCGAAGTACATAACTACAAAATGCCAGGAGGTGGAGTCGTTGCCGTCACTGGCACGACTGATGTCAACCGTGTCGAGGCTCCTGTCACTGTTCGGGCTTATCTGATTGTCGCATTCGCTGCGTTTGGCGGAATCTTCTTTGGATATGATACAGGTTGGATGGGTGGTGTCCTCAATATGGATTACTTCATTAAGCAATACACTGGAGCTGAATACCCAGACGTTGTGTACCCAGGCCTCGACTCGACGAGCCAGACGATCAAAGATTACCGTAACTCACACTTCATTGTAGTTCCATGGCAACAATCTCTCGTAACATCGATTCTCTCTGCTGGGTATGTAGAACAAATGCATCAGTGCGATGACAGGGAACTGACAGACCACAGTACTTTCTTTGGTGCTATTATGGCTGGTGATATCGCTGACTTTATCGGACGTCGTATCACTATCATTACGGGATGCGGAATTTTCGTCGTCGGTGGTATCCTTGAAACTGCCTCCACCGGTCTTGGTGTCATGGTTGCTGGTCGACTCATTGCTGGTTTTGGTGTGGGATTCATTTCATCCATCGTCATCTTGTACATGTCCGAGATTGCACCCAAGAAGGTCCGTGGTGCCGTAGTTGCTGGTGAGTACTTTTCGTACGGCTTAAATGATATGCCTTCTAACGTTAGTAGGCTACCAATTCTGCATTACCATCGGTATCTTACTTGCCAACTGTGTGGTTTACGCCACTCAGAACAGACGCGATACTGGCTCCTATCGTATCCCGATCGCCGTTCAGTTTCTCTGGGCTATAATCCTCGCCATCGGTCTCGCTCTCCTACCAGAGTCGCCCCGTTACTGGGTCAAAAAAGGCAAGCTCGACAAGGCCGCCTCCGCCCTTGGCCGTGTTCGCGGCCAACCTCTTGATTCCGAATACATCCAGGACGAACTCGCTGAGATCATTGCAAACCACGAATATGAAATGTCCGTTGTACCACAGCACAGCTATCTCGGTTCGTGGTTGGCCTGTTTCAAGGGCAAGCTCTCCTCGCCCTCGTCCAACGCCCGCCGTACTACACTTGGCATCTTTATGCAAGCTATGCAACAGTTGACTGGTATTAACTTCATCTTCTACTTCGGCCCTGTCTTTTTCCAGCAGCTTGGCTCGATTTCCAATCCCTTCCTCATCTCGCTCGTCACGACCCTCGTCAACGTGCTGTCCACACCTGCCTCATTCATTATGGTTGAGAAGATTGGAAGACGTCCTCTGCTCGTCTTTGGAGCGGCTGGCATGGTCATAATGCAATTCATCGTTGGGGCAATCGGAGCTACTGCTGGCAAGAACACTGCCGACCACCCAGCTAACCCAAACGCCACCCGTGCTATGATCGCATTCATTTGCTTGAATATCTCTGTCTTCGCAACGACTTGGGGGCCTTGCGCCTGGATTGTCATCGGTGAAATCTTCCCTCTGACCATTCGATCTCGCGGTGTCGGTCTCTCTACGGCTAGCAATTGGTTCTGGAATTGTATCATCGGTATCATCACTCCATACCTCGTTGCCGACCGTGAGGACTCTGCCCGTCTCGGATCCAATGTCTTCTTCCTATGGGGCTCGCTCTGCTGTATCTCTTGTGAGTTCTTCCTAATCCTCAAAGCCACATGGGACAAGTCACTGATGAATAAATAGTCCTCTTCGCTTTCTTCTTTGTTCCCGAGACCAAGGGTCTCACCCTTGAGCAAGTCGATAAGATGTTGGAGGAGAGCACTCCTCGCAACTCTCGCAAGTGGAAGCCACACAGCACCTTCGCTGGCGAAATGCATCTCGCCGAAAAGCACATCGAGATCCCTCTTGAGGACATCGCTGTGTAGCACGAAACCTCTGCTGTCTGAAGCATGTGGTCTAAAGGTAGACGAGAGAGGGACAACTCTTATGTGGAACCATGACGTTAGTGAATGTTGTTGTAATGCATGGAACTACTACATGGCATCCAATGTCATGAAGTGTTAGTAGAATGTTATACACGCAGCCAGTTATTACTGGTCCGCAACCCGATCTATGACAATCGTGTGAAATACGTCCTGTCAGCTTCAACATGAAGTAATCGCTATATTACATCATCCTATCCCTCTCCAGTGGGAAAACAGAAGGGTTCGCTTACCCACTCTTCTCCCCACTCTTACCCTTTCATCCCGCCCCCGTCCATGCTCCCAGCCACCCGGAAATCTTCACCCGAACCACACGCCGTGCCCATGTTGTAACATACCACGCGTCCATTTGCGCGATGACATGGAATTCAGTACCTCACCGTGTCCGCGCTGGCGCTAACTAGCACTGAATCTGTTCGTTATGTAGCACGAGGCTAACAAGCTGACTGCGTGGATGCACAGATCTTGTGTTCAGACAGCCGACGCGGTGTTTGTGGCATCATTTGGGTAGGTGTTACAGAGTCTGATGGGTAATCTGCTGTATTGGGAGCGTGGGTTACACGGGGATTCGGAGCTGAGGTTTGGAGGACTGTTAGCGTGGCAGTGTCTTATGCTAATTTGGTGCTAAACTAGTGGGCTGATGGTAAGTGTCAGCGGAAGTAGCATATTCGCGCAATCATTGAGAGATGGAACGGTCGTATGAGGGCTTTTTTCCTCTTGGGCATGCCTTTGTCGGTCACGCTGAAGAAAGTCGCTCTTGCCTCGTGGTGTAGATCTATGCGCAGCTTGGTGGGGCTTTAAAGCGCACCAGGCACGAGCATCTTCCTCACATCCAGAGACATGGGAGAGGACTCTGGCTCCTGGCTTTCCGATCAGCAGTGCCTGAGTAACGAAACTTATGTGGGGCATAGCCTTGCGGAATGTGGGAATACTGCAGACGATAGCGTGGCTGCCGGGTCAAGTTCGTGAATACTTCCGTATCGTAGCTCAGCCTTGCGCGGGAGTGATTCACAGTCTCCAGTAGGCTAAACTACATCGTCCTCATAGCGACCAGACTGTTCTTTACACTCTGCTATCTTCTCAAGATCCAACAACATACAAATGGAGCTCGATTCTGACAAAATGTTTGGCGAACTATACTCCAGTGCCGAAGCTCTTCAAACAGCATTGACAGATCTCGAGACAAAATATAAGAAGACAGTCTCCGACACGCGAATTCCCCTTCAATTTCTCACTTTGCGGGATAAGCCTGAGTCTGAACCCTTGGGAAACACGATTCATCTGCGCCTTACACAGAAAGTAGATTACCATCCCAGCTGGGCATATGTTGCCGTGTCCTACACTTGGGCACAACCTGAGGGTCTTGCAGCTCAATTCAACACACCCGAAATCAGAGTCTGGATCAATGGTACGGAAGCCCGTCCGCCACACTGCCCTCCTTCTGTTATCTATCGAGCACTGCAATACGATACTCTTGAAGCTAAGACCGGTCACCTCTGAATAGACCAAGAGTGCATCGACTAAGGTGATGCAACGGATCGAGATGAGCACATCGCACATATGCGCAAGATCTACGAGCGATCTCAAGCGAGACATACTCGTGGGGAGTTCACAGTAAGTGCAGCCCACTTCGTTCGAGTAAAGTGGGACGGTACGTTCCTTTATCTGGTAGCGAGGTTGCTATTTCTTCTACAGTTTTGGAAACCTCGACGTGTCTCTCTTACCTATTATAACAACCTTTACAGGACATCATTTAAATATGCACCACCAACCACCACCACCGTACCGCAAGATCGAAAACGACGACTACAAGACCGACAGACAAAGCAGCTTGGAACCTCCCAGCATCCAGGACACTTTGACGTTGACTGCGGCCGCAGCTGCGGCATGGATCACTGGTGCAGCATATATTGAATACGTCTATTACGGTGTTCAAGAACAGATACACAAGTACATCTACGAGCTTCTAGCTCTGCCGGTATGTTGATCTTACCTTTACCTTTATTAAGATCTAACAAAATCTGCAGTTCACCATTATCGTCCTAGGTGCTTATGCCTACGTATGCACTTTATACCTTGCCCAACGATATCCTACAGTCACGAAGTATATACTCGGGCTCCCTATACCTATGGCATACGTATCAACGATATTGCTGATGGCTACCTTCATGGAAGTAGGACTGGATATGATGTTCACCATTATGCCGGTATGTTTGTAAACTGTTAAGAAACTCTACATATACTAACATTACTAGGTGGGTTTCATCATTTCTTTCTTTGTATTTGCAGGATGTCGCCACATTATGTCGCAAACCAGAGTACCATCTCTGGTATGAAGAGGCGAGATTGCAAACATGTGTTCGATCGCGTCACTATAATAGCAAACATATCTGGACTGACAACCACCCTCCGGACAACCGAGCTCCAAGAAGATAATGAAGCGAGCTATAGTACTTGCGTATTGGCACTGCTAATCATGAGTCAGGTGTATAAGGGGTCGGTTTCATGGATTACGGGCAAGACTATTGAAAATGTTCTCATCATTGTTTTGAGCTGGACACATACCTCCATAGATGAGTTGTGGAATGGTTGTTATCATGGCGGAGGTAGCTGAAGCGTTTCTTACGTTTGTGTACACAATCGAAACCTTATTGTTGGGTCTGCCTGATAGTGGTCAACTGACTTTCTGCGTGGACCAAGTTTTCATGGAAAGCAATGCACTGTTTGAAGTGTGGTATCAATAGTTCGTCATCTATCCAACCTCTACTCTACGTACAAGATGTTTCAACGATGGAAAGAGCTCAACTGACTATGTGACCCCCGCTAGCAGTCTTAGCCCTTAGAAACGCCTCGACGTCCTTGGCACTTGTCGCGTCAATCTGACGGTCCATCTCCAGCTCCTGTGGACTCTTCACCCTCTCAGGTTCCTCAACCTTCTCCTCCTTATGCCCGCCAACGGCACCAGTTACGGCTTCTGCAGCAGAAGTAGCAGTGGAAGTGACTACAGCGGAGGCTGATATAGCAGCTTGTTTAGCTTGGTCTAAATAGCCCGGAGCAGCGGGTTCTTCACGATCAGGGAGTGGTACCTCTTTCGGTGCTTGACCCACAGTGTTGGGCTCCATCGTAACTGTCTTGTCACCATGTCCATGGTCGACAACTGCTGCGTCGGGTGTTCCATCTGCGAGCTGACCCGATGCGTGTGTAAGGTTCTGTTGCTCGTATCGTGCCTCGGATGTGCCTTCGCGGATCGGTAGGGTTGTGGTATTTGGTGGTGAGCTCATGGAAGGGCGCGACTCGGTGTCTGAGGGAGGCGTATCAATATCTGGCTCGTTGGTATCGGGAGGATGCGTAGCCGTTCCCACGGTTGTGAGAGGGTCACCGATCTGTGTTGCGGGTGTAGGTGGCATTAAATCCCCCTGTTTGTATCCTACAGGCTTCGGAATGGAGAAGATGAGCTTTCTTCGTGGTGCTCCATTTTCACTGCCAACACCCCAGGCTTGCATCTCACCATCCTGCCCTTCCTCCCACTTTATTGGCCCGATAGGGAACGTCTTGCGCCCGTCCTGGGTATTTGGATTCTCCCACTTCATTTGCGCCTCAATGGCTGGCTCGAGGTTTGGCAGTTGTCCCCATTCGAAATCGAGACCGCCACCGTATTTCTTCGGAATGTTGTCGTGATCGATATATTGGGAGAGTGTGGAGTAGACGTTCTGCGGGGAGAGGATAAAGATCTTGGAGACGGTGATGGGATCAAACCAACGCTTGACCCAACCCCAAACGGTAGGAAAGAAGCCAGGCGCTCCGACGATCTGTGGCACTGTTAGTCCAACTTGAGTCATTCCCAGAACGCCTCATAGACATACGAATATCCTATCCAACGTCTCGGGATAGTGTGCCGTGGCTAGCACGGAAGCATCCTGCATGTGGCCTTTCAGATTCCAGAACTGCTTCAACCCGACGCCACTGATATCCACAATGTTGTTGCTCTGCGAGATGGGCGTCTCCGGGTGGTTGCGAGGGACCATGGAGCATAGTGGCGTGTAGAATCTTGTGAGCGACTCGTACAGGGCGAAGAGGCGCAGGTTCTTGGTTGCGACATTAGGTATGGTCGTCTTTGATTTGGCGAGTTGTTTCTCGTAAGCGGAGATGTTCTTCGAGTTCAACGGTGCGACCTCGAAAAGGAAGAGAGGGATGCCGCGTTTGTCGCGTCGGCCGAGCCATTGCGGGTACTACGTGAGGCTGTCAGACAGGACAACAGCGCATGTTTGCGGGACTGTCTACCAGGCGGCGCGTTTGCTCATACTCTTCGATCTCGATAGTGTTGAAGATTTCGCTTAGCTTGTTCTCTTTCCGCCAGTCCTCCGTGTCCTTGAATTGCTTAAAGGCTTCCTGGGGAACAAAACGACGCGCGCGCAAGTAGCGCCTGTAAGCAGTCAGTGCCCCGCTAAATTTACTAACTTCGCGTTTTGCGCATACAGCATGGTCTCATCGTCATGGCTGGCTTGCTTCCCCCCGGCTGCAGGTGTGTAATAGCCTGCCTGTTGGCAGATGTTTTTGAACTCAAGCAGCTGGGCCTGCTGGTTCTCGGTAAGATGAGAAAGATGCCCCGCAGGGTACTGCATCGACTCTACTCTACTGAGGTCGGCCATGGTGGTATATGATAGGAAAAGTAAGGATGCAGGTTAACCAGGCCAAAAGAAAGGGAGGAAAAGTAGTGAGCCAGACCGTTCGGTTCTAGGGCGTCATGTTTATGGTAATGAATGCGGCGGTGCGGCAGTGACATCAACTGTGGCTGCAGATCGGGGCTCGCGGAGAGCGAGTTTCGGCAACGGTTACGCGCCATCCGGACCAAATGTGGAAAAAAACATGTGAGACTTTTGCTTGTCTGACTGCCGTGCTTGAATCGTGTCTTTCGCACTGATCACAATGAGTCCATAGTTGTTTTGAGCGTGTCGCGATTCATTTCCGCTGGGAGCCGCCGGAGGTTCGCCAAGAAACTTCTGCTGACAATGATGACTTTACATGCCGGTGACTTGCTATGCAGCTGTCAGCATGGACAAGTCTAAACTACGTACGATACGGGCGTATGTTTTTTTGGCGGGGTTATTAAGTCTCATTCTTCCTGCTGAAACTTTGCTACTATCAAGAGTACCGTAAGTTCTATGGTTTACTGAGATGATGGAATTTTAAGTTTGACTACATTCGTTTTCTGTATATGACTGAGACGTATCTGACTTGCTTGAGGAATGAGACGTTGGTTTGGTTCAGTCCATGCTCGTCCAGCCGCGAGTGTATATGTTGAGCGGCGAAACGATATAGAGAACAGGCGTTGGAGGTGCGTTATCGCGATTTAGCTGCCGAGGCTAGTCCATGTTAGCGAGCAATGCGCGCATCAGCGGCCATGTTCCAATGTTGACGCCGCGGGACATCATACTACGCGCCCTCGCCACGCCTGAAGGCTATTCATCATTGCGCTCTCGCATATCTTGACGCCTCCCTCCGCGACTCGACTCTTGCTCGAAAGCCGTCGACTTGCCTCAGCCCGCAAACTTGCAACGGCTGCTAGCCCACCATCAGCATGGAACGCCCCTCCTTCACTGGCCTGCCGACCGAGATCCTCGAAGCCATATTTCTAAACCTCGACCCACGATCCCTCGCGTCCGTTTCGCAGACCAACAAGCTCATCAAGGAGCTCACTACCGATGCGCCCATCATCTGGCGACATCTATGCAAGTCGCAATTCAAGACATGGGACTCTCGCCACAACATCATCGCCAAGTTTGCAGCCCCATTGTCTGATGTCGACTGGCGCGCGCTGTACATGACCAAGCACACCATCGAGCGCCACACAAGAAAGCTGTTGAATCACATTGTGACTAGTCAACAAGAGCGCATACGGTGCATCAACGAAATCGCAGAGTTCGGATATGATGCAAAGGAGACGCTGTTGAAGGAATGCGCATGCCCCGACGACACAGAGGATGTTCTAGCGAGACGTTACTACGCCAATGCCGTACTCGAGCGCATACACCGCGAGGTCGCCATCAAAGTCTGGACGGATTTGCACAACGGCAAAGACATATCCATCGAGAGAGCTCTGGGCGCATACGACGTATTCGCAAGAGTTGGAGAGGATGTTGACGTTGACGTGGTGGCCGAGGATATCACTGCATTAGCCAATCGACTGCTAGAAACATATCCTGATTTCCGCAGTTGGAGTCCTCGAAGACAGGCTTCAACATTGGCATCCTACCTCCGCGACCAAGGCTTCCAAGGTGTCACGGACACATCCTACCGCGCCCTCAGAAATTCCTTCATTGGACTTGTCATACGCTCAGCCAATCACCAATCTCTTCCCCTCATCTCGGTTGCCATCTACTGCGCAGTGGCACAACGGATCGGCCTTGATGCACGACCTTGCGGGTTCCTCTTCCATGTCTACACACTTGTCTACGCGCCTAAAAACTATAATCTTGATGGCGAGTACAAACCGACAAGTTCGACAGAGCTCGACTACATGTACTTGGACCCATTTCGCTCTTCTTCCGAAGTGAGACAAGGCGATCTTCAGCGGGTTCTACGCGACATGGGTGTTCCCAGCAGCGAACACCGAGGCTTCCTTAGTGATACCAATACTCGAGAAATGGTGATGCGTACCGCACGCAATATCATGAATTCTGTCCAGACAATCCGCGAGACTGAAGCTGGATCGCGCAGAATCGAGGCCTCGTGGATGAACTCACAACCAGACATGGATAATGCTTTCTACGCAACAATCTGGGCCATGCTGCTACTGGGTCCTAATGACGATAATCTTAACGCAAGCCATACGGCAATCCGGCGCCGTCAATATCTGCCGTACCTGCTTGAGCATTTCCAGATGCACTACCCATGGGATGTGACGTTGCTATCACGCTACGTCATCCCTATGTTTTACAATCAGCCAGAGGGCCACCGATTACTTCAATTCGTGCAGAGCATGCACCAGGTCGATGCAATGCGTAAGCCTGTCATTCATCGTTCCGAGCGCACGCAGGACGTCGCGTTCAAAGTAGGCCAATTGTTTCAACATAAGCGTTACGGGTATGAGGGTGTCATCACAGGCTGGGATGTTGTCTGTGACGCCAATGAGGATTGGATCCAGAATATGCGTGTGGATTCTCTGTCAAATGGCCGGAACCAGGCTTTCTATCACGTACTGTAAGTCCATCTTGTCTTGCCTCTATTGTATTGTGCTAACCCCTGTAGTGTCTGCGACAAATCTGTTCGCTATGTTGCTGCTGAGAACATCCAGCCTGTTAGTACGGACACGTACCCTTCAGAAGCATTGTTGAAACTTGCTGGTCGTCACTTCAAACGCTGGGATGATGCAGACCATTGTTTTGTGAGTAATGTGCGAGACGAATACCCAGAGGACTAGAGATGTTGCTGGAAACGAGTCGAAAAGTTGAAACTTTCAGATACATTGTATTATTAATTCATTATGTTGATGATCGAGTGTCATCGTATTGTACACTACACCCTTATGCTCAGCCTAATCCTGTCAAGCTTAAATTGAAAAGCGAAAGACAAGTATGTAACACTTCTAAAACTCCAATATAATTGCCGCGAAATAATCGCCGCATCTTCACTCTCTCACTTCTTTCCTTTCCCTTGCATGAAGCGGTCTAGGTTTTCCTCCAGAAAACCATTCTCTGCCAACATTTCGAGCCACTTCTTGATGACTGGACCAGAATCGTACCGCCGTTGCGTAGCCTTCAAATTCTCTTCTGCTTCATTTTGCATCTCCATCATGATGTTCGCGGCTAGTTGATTAGCTTTCGCTAGCAATAAACTACGGCGAGCGAGGAGTTGAGTTAAGTCTTCGCTGTCGATGGTCGCTTTGACAGCAGGAGAAATGGGGCTATCGGCTAGATGTTCCTCGAAGCCTAGCATGTGAGGATCAGGCGGCTGTTCATTTGTGTCAACAAGGTTTCTCCAGTCTTGCGATGCAGCGGCAGAGACGTTGTCGAGGCGTGCGTCGACTTGCGAGAGAGTGTTAATCGTCAGACTAGCGTTCTTGCGTAGTGAAAGCAGAGGAGACTGTGTTAGCGCAATAACACCGTAGTCGTCATCTCCAGCTGCCATGAGGGCAGAAATTGTGTTGGAAACTGACTCCAACCACGTCTCCCCCTGCTGGGGATCAAAAGAGCCCATACACGTTGGCTGCTTATCCAGGCCATCCAGTTTCCAGACTTCGTTTCCAACAGGTACGAAAGCAATATAATGATGTGCGTTGTCTTCAACGCTCTCTGCACTATCATTGCTGACGACAGTATCGGTAGAAGCAGCGCGACGCGACTTGCTTCCTTTCTTGGTAGGCTTGGCCTTCTCAGACAACAGTTGCGCCTTGATGCGCTGAGCACGCTTGACTTTGTAGCTGAGATGTTTGTCCCCCTCGAGGATATCCATCTTCTTCGCAAAAGAATTATGAATCTTCTTTACAAAATCGAAGCTCGCAAAGGCCTCGCCGCGCTGATACGGCGACAAATCCTGTGTGAAGTCCTTGAACTGCGTCAGATGCTCTCCAATACGTATATTGGCCTCGTGGCTTTGGTTCATTAGGATGTTGATCATGGCAAGTGTCGCACAGCTGTTCTGAGCAGGCAATTGGTTGGCAAACCAGACGTCCTTGGGACACTCCGTGGCCTGGCCGTCGTTGCCAAATTCGCGGTAGTGGAAAAGGAGAATGAAGCCGTGGATGGGTTGGGGAATGTTGTCAAGAAGGAATTCTGGATCCATGCTGAATACTTCGCGTACAGTAATATCGCGAACACCCATCTCGCGCAGGATGACAGAGAAACAGGCAGGTTCACTTTCGATGTCGCAGAATCCCTGCCAGGTCGCTTTGTCAAAAGCAGTTGCAGGCATATCGGGTGGACTGGGGAATACAGGTGCTGTTACGGCGCCGTTCTGGGTTGACAGTGGCGTTGGTGAGTCTTTTGACTTTTTACTGATGGGCTCGGAAGCTGTATCAGGTTCGGGCAGGCCTCGCTTCTTGGTGTTGGAAGGGGATACCTTGGAAATCTTGCTTGGGGACCCGGAGCCATCATGTGGCTCAGCGGTAGGGTCGTCTTTGGTCTTTTCTGTGATTGAAGGGACTACTTCAGCAGCTTGGTCTACTGAGTCTTTGCTTGGCATTGCTTGTTGTTGTTGTTGTGTCCCATCTTTAATCTCAGGACCGGCCTTGAGATCGGAGGGGGAATCGTTTTTCATACTGAGCGATTCGGGTTGAGAGGATCTTATCGTGGGTTGTAAATCAGAGTTAAGGTGATTCAGGTGTGTATGTGGACGTTGGGCGGTTGGAGGAAAGGAAAGCAGACTGGCATTGTGATGGAGGGCCTGCAGACGAAGCACCGGTACTTTGATCAATTGCGTGGCTCGAAGAGGCAGTAGGAAGCGAGCTGGGAATAATGTAAACTAGAGGTGAAAGCAAAGGGCAGTGTGGTGGTCGAGGTCGGGGTGCTAGCACGTGACGAACTCGGCGTCATCGAGCTCTGATTGGCCGACGACGCCGCAGCCCGCATCCTTGTCGCGCTCGTCGCGTAGGCTCTAGGTAAATGTTTGTTTGATGGTTTCACGTCCACCGACAAACCCTCCAGCGCAACAC